CTAATAAGCAAAAAGCAAATCCTGCAGCATATTAAATTTAGTTTGAATTCATTCCAGTTGTTTTTGCTAGTAGAGAATTTGTTGAAAATAGAAACATGGCCATTAATATATGCCGTTAAGTTTTAAGAATAATTAATTCCATTTTTCAAAAAATGTAATTAAAAAAAAATAATCAAATAAATTTTTAATGAATTGCAATTTCCAATATATAGTTTTTCCTTTTATTTTTCTCTTTCAACCTTTTTTCAAAGATTCCCAAAGGATCCTCTTAAATTGTAAAGAATCATTTTAAAGTTTATTAAAGTTCATTGGTTTGTTTTTTCGAGATCGCAATTTTTACCTTTCTTTCTCTAAAGTATCACATCATCTAATTATTGATCATAAAAATTCCTAATTCAATTCGCAAGCTCTAAATATATTCCTACTCCTTCTTTTAGTGAATTATTACAAATTTCACCTTTTACCATGTTATTGTTAATTCTAATATAGGATAATTTAATTTACCTTAAATATTTAAAGAATGATAATATACATTTTACTTTAATTGTCTAAAATTTTATAACCCATATATGAACTTCTTCTACAAATGACTTATAAATAAGAATAACGGTGCTATGCTATGTCTTTAAATCATAGTAGAACTATTTTAGCTTCTGCAGCAAATTAAGATATCAAAATTTTCTAATTTGCAGACGGAATTATAAAGTAGATCTAAAAACTCAGTTCTCTTATTTTATTACAAAACTCCATATTTTAAGGAGTAAATAACATTTCATCTCTAGTTCAGAAGATTCTTTTATTATAGTATAGTCAACAAATCTATTATCAAATCTAAAATACTTAATTAAATTGAAAGAATATAAATGATATACTAATCGTTTGGTTGTCCATCCAATAAACGAAAATCTTATTATTAGTGGATCAAATGACAAGAAAATCAAATTTTGGTCTAATTATAATTCATCTAAATAATAGGTTGATGATTAAGACTATATAACATGGTCAGTTAATTTATTTGTTTTTTAGCAATGGGGAAGATAGTTTCTCCAATTTATTCCATCTATAGAATATATTAAGTTAAGTTTTAAAATTTCTGCCCATTCCTAATGTGAACTAGAATAGAATATAGATTTTGGCGATTGTAGAGTGTTTGGAATTGAATGATGACGGAGAATTCTTGAATACATGGGATCAAAATTCGGAATCAATTCAAAATAGAAAGTTTAAATAAAATATTGTAAAAAAGGTTGGATGATTACTTATAATATTTTCAATTTATACATTTTCTCCATTTTTGATACAAATTTGATAAAAAAAATAAGTCTTATATGTAAGTTTTATCCATATTAGTATATGAAATTAACACAGAAATAAATAACTAATTTTAGCTATGATGCTACCAGAATGGGAATCTGCTTTGATTTAAGTTGTAAAAACTATTTAACTAGGAGAGGATTTAATAGTGTAATGTCTGATTTCTTGAAGGCAAAAGAAGTGAGGTCTATCATATTTTACCGTCTTTCATTTTTTATAAAAAATCCTTATCAGATTTTCAATAATTAATTTAAAAAGCCTTTGTATTTATTGAAATTATTTTGGCACTTCTATATTTATAAATTTAACTCTAAGGAATGATTTTTTTTAAATTATTTTGTGTGATTGATTATTTTTCATTTGTTATCTATTAATGCTCTAAGAAATCATTTATCATATACAATCAAATATTATAAAAATTTTATCATTTCTAATTACAAAACTGAACAAAATACCTTATATAGACTAAAATAGTTATCCTGATATATTAATCTCTCTAAAAATAAAGAGAATAACAAATCAATGAAAAATTTTCGAAAACGATGAAGATTTATTAGAATTTATTTCTAAGATGTTAAACGTTGAATGAGAGAAAAAATCAAAATGCGTATTAATCAAAATTTATCTATTCCTCATTAAAGAAGGTAGATAGCGGTCAGATAAGCACTAATCAACTATATTCAGAAAAACTAGATATTTAGTTTGATATTAACGAAATAGAAAAAGTATAGTAAGAAAATCTTTTTCAAATACTGCAAAATTATTTTGTTAAATATTCATTAATATATATAATTTTCATTTTTATCTGAATTAACATCGATTAATGTTTCTAAAAAGAAACTTCCTTTAGTTTATAATAATGATTGTAAGTCTATTCCTTAATAATTGACAAATTCACTTTAAAATATTAAAGCATCTTATGCTTAAAATAGTAATGTTTGAGATATACGCTGTGTAGTAATATTAGAGCTAACTATATATAATTAAAATAAATTCTACCTTCTAAAAGAGGATTATTTAGTAGAGTTTTAAATTATAATGAAACATCTTTGTAATATTTATCCAGAACTTCAATGTGTTGTCTATTTTTAATATCCCATATGCGGATAGAGTTATCACTACTGCCCGATGCTAACAAAGTACCATCAGGAGAGATGCAAACTGATCTTACTATATCAGTATGACCATTCAATGTAGCTTTTTACTTCCCTGACTTCAAATCCCATAAGCAGATTGACTTATCATAACTACCAGATGCTAATGTCGTGCCATCTGGAGAAAAGCATACTGATAAAACTCCACTACTATGACCATCAAATTTTGCCTTTTATTAACCTGTTGTAACATCCCATAAACGGATGGACTTATCCCTAGAATAATAAAGATTTCCACTACATGATGCTAATGTAGTGCCATCAGGAGAAAAGTATACTGAGTAGACTTAATCATTATGACCAATTAATTTGGCTTTTTTTTTTACTGTTTTAATATCCCATAGGCGGATAGACTTATCACCACTTCCAGATGCCAATGTAGTATGATCAGGAGAAAAGCATAATGAATGGATGATTCTGGTATGGCCATCCAATTTTGCTTTTTATTATCCTGTCTTAACATCAAATAAATTGATATATTTATTATCACTAGATGCTAATAGAGTTCCATCAAGAGAGAAGCAAACTGATCTTACTATATCAGTATGACCATTCAATGTAGCTTTTTATTTCCCTGTATTCAAATCCCATAAGCGGATTGACTAATCATAACTACCAGATGCGAAAGTATTTCCATCAGGAGAGAAACAGATTGAATAGACA